CTCGTTCACAGCCGGCTTACTCCTACCCTGTGCGAGAGCTAGCCCTGATCAGAATCAGGACATTCACATCACTCACCTGTCAGGGACTGAGCACTGACCTGGCGATAAGCCACAGGGGGGCATCCGTGCCATGGTAACCCTTGGAAACCCGGCTGACTGAAGACCAGCCTGCGCTGGTGGTACGACGCCGGTTTGATGTACTGTGGACTCCCACTCATGGTCGGCTGATGACATTTCCCAGCATCACGCTAGTGTTGTCTAAGCTACAGGGCCCAGCCAACCCTCAAAGCAACTGCCTCACAGACTGAGCCTTTCATGATCCCCGAGATCTTTCTTTATTTTTTTCACATCCCCAGTCTAATCCTGTTTTTATACTTTGACTGAACTCCTGTTTTTCTCCCCATTTGGTAAGCCCAATCATTTTCCCTGTTTGGGGCAGCACTGACATGAAGGCACTGTCCTCCCAAATATATGATGTTAGCTGTTTGTTCTTCTTCTTATATCATAGTCACAGTCCATAAACCTGAGTCCAGACATGGGTCTAAAAAAGGCACTTCTCCTGCAGATAGACTGGGGCACCTGCCTGGTGAGCAATGAGACATGGACATTCCCACAGATCGAGTCTCTTCCTCCCTGGGTGAGGCTCACCCAGTGAAGCAGCAGGCCACAGTCAGCCCTGGCATGGTCCAAATTTGGTGCCACACCGAAGGGCACGTCCATAGGCTGGAGCAATGGACCATCCAGCATTCCATTCCATTTGAAACCTGGGTGGAATTTTACAAAGCTCGATAGGATTTAGCTGTTTAACCTTTAACAACTGAGGATTTAATCTAACTAAATATTATAAAATAAAAAAAATCCAAAATTAAAACCTTCTGTCCTTAAATCCTGTGTTATGAATTACCCATCAGATTGCATCAATAATAAAAACCAATCATATCTATATTATACATTTCAAAATAACCCCAAAGCATTTTACAGTGAAGAGGTACGAAGCTCACTTCAGCTACCAACAAAACTTACTTTATAGTTAGATTTAATTCTGCTGAGCTCGTGTCATCCAGATTGAAATTTATTTCTCTTTCCTACCTTGAGTTTTCTTTCTTATTTGTGTTGTGAAGCCCACACAGGGGAATTGCTCCACACTCCATCAGCCTTAACTCTGGTTTGGAGAACAGATTCTCAGGAGAGGATAACACTCTGTCGGGGAGAATGGTAGATACACCATGTACCAGCCTTTTGTTCACAGCCTCCCAGTAATTCAGTGAATCTGGTCCTATAATTGTAAAAAAAAATGTTCAGTCACAATCCTGACAACAAGTCATGGTCTAGGAAATGTCTCGATTGAGATATTCTAGATCTAGTGATTCTCAAAGAATCAGGTGATTCTTCTGGTCCATGGACCACTAATAGCTCATGAAAGGAAAAGTCAGTCCTGCTTAAAATATTGACAATGTCATACAACACTTTGTATCTCCATAAAATTGAAATCTGAAAACAGCAAAAAAAAAAAAAAAAAAAAATCTGTTTCATAAGTCCATTTGCCACCCTAATTATAATATAATTATGGATAAGTCTTATCTGGCTTCAATCCAACTTTATGAAAGACTGAGCTGAAACCAGGCATTTGCAGCGTGTGAAAAGAACACCCGTCCTCGGCAATGGACATGTAAGGTTTATGATGACATTCATGACATGCTAATTTTATTTAAATGGTTAAGGAGACTTCTGAGGTCTTCATAATTGTTCCAGTGATCCATGAAAAGAAGTTTAAGAGTCACTATTGGGCAAATCTTATCACTATTTTTCTGAAAGAGTGCCCTCCATGTACTGTATCACTTCTACATTTCGTCATTCCTTTAAAACTATAAACTATATCTTTGCCTGTACTTTGATATAATACAAAGGACAAAAAAATGTAATTTCATAGAAAATTGCTTTTTGTGAATGGATTTTTGGATGATCATTTTCATATCTTTAAATTAACTGACATTATGTCCTACGGTCTTTAGGTATAATTTGTGTACCCAAGGGCACATTGTGCCCATTCCCTATAGTCTGGTGATTCTTTTTCTTGATTAGCCATCAGGACCTATTGTCATATTTGTCATTCTTTTTTGATTAGGCGCATTGTTATATTCTGACAGAACTGATTTAGAAATAACAAACTCAGATGTGACCCTTTTTCAGTTCATTCGTATATATGAGAAATAGTTTTTTTTTCCCTCTTCACACTTCCCATTTTTTTTGTTTTATGCTGGATTTACTGTTTTAGCATATTGGCTTTGCTGTCATTAGTATTACCCCCACACAGTTCAATGAAATGTCCAGGAGGTCAAATTGAGTTAGTATGTATACGTTCATACTGGGTGTTAAACCAAGCATTAAAACCGTAAGTACATCTGATATTATAGTGGGCATAATGTAAGTGACACATTGAAACTATACATATGGTTGACATACAAGGTAAGCCAAGCATTTAAACCATAAATATGTATGATATTATATAAGGTGTAATGTATATATTTTATTCAGCAGATGCCCTTATGCAGACGAATGTACAGGACCATCAAGACATGACAAATTATATTTAACATACACTGCTATACTACCTAACAAAGACAAACATAGGCCAACTCTCTCTGATTTGTTGTTTGTATATTTGTACTGTTATTTCCCTGTTACAAAATCGTGGTGTTCTTCTAGGGCTGCTAGTGTGCATATTGATTTCTATTGATTTTTTTCTTTCTTTATCATTCAATTTACTTGACAGGTTAATCAATAGGTAACCGATAGGTTGGATCCTATGTTATTCACATCGCTGGTCCCTGGGACTATACTTCCATCCTCTCGGGTATTTGTTTTGCTCTTCATCCCCAATCTATGCACTTGACATCTTGTTATAAGTGGCCCTGGATGGGAGTGTCGATTAAATGCCCATATTATAATGTAATGTAGAGCTCTGATCCTGTACCATTGTCCTGGGCTACGAAAGGGCAGCAGTGTCACACTCAGTGCTTCCTGAGGATTAAAAGGCAGGACAAGAATCCGGATGCTGAAGTCCTCAACTGTCCATGCACGCAGAGCGCCCTCACTCGACTACACTCATGGAACTGCAACTCAGATGGAGAGGTCCTAGTGACAGTGATGCCCGGTTCTCCAGCCGTCCAGGGAAAGTCTCCTTGGGTGAGGCAAGGGCAGGGAAAGCACTCACAGGCTGAAGAGAAGAAGCGCTGCAAGGGCACTCTGACGATGTCCCTCGGGAGGGCTGAGATTGCCCTGGAGTCATGGGAAAAGGCTTATTTGGGACCGTGACACCTGGTGCAATTTGATCACGGTAGGAGCTGCCACTGCTGTTTTTTTTTTTGTTATTTCGGTAAGGAATGTGTTTGCTGTACCTTCCTGTGTGTGCCGTGGGGGGGGGGGGGGGGGCTGTGGGGTTTCCCACCATCCTGTAATGTTAATAGACATCTGTGTTTCCCTGCTGATCGCCCTCTCTTTGTTACCAAGCCCCCCCCCACTCCATGCAGACAACTGTTTCTCGAGGCACCCATTTGGCTGGTTCACTCATCTGGTTCCTTGTCTTGTCAGCCCTGTGGCTATTGTCAATCAATGGATCCATCTGTGAATGTGGTTATCTAGTCAGATAGGCTTACAAGGCCATGGTGTCATTTGAGAAACATCTGTTTTATGGGTGCAGGGATGTGATAAAGCTCTGCGTTGCCCAGGGAATTTAAGGAGAAGCAAGGATCACTCAGGGAATTTCCAATATGTGTGGTTTCTGTATGTCTGTGCCTGTCAATCTTTTCTAATGTTTACTTACTTTGTTTTGCTCACTGTAAGAAATCTATTTCAGGCAACTGGCCATCATTCACGTAAGACAGCCAATAGAGCACTTCCGTGGGACCAACTTAAAATCGTCACACCTCAGAAACAAAGACAGTCCAAGCTGCGGTGCTGAAAGGGTAGCATGGCATGGACGGTGCAAATAGATCCTCCACTGGAGAGACCTCCAGATCCTGTCCCATAATGCAACACATCAGCAAGATCAACCCCAGTCCTGAAGGGCTGCAGGGTATGCTGCAATTTGATGTCAATCAGCAGCTAAATGATTGATTTAAGCAGCTGATTACTGTAAGCTTGAGCTAAGATGAGGAATGAGGACTTTTGAGATCCATCCAGCTACACCTTAGTTCAACAGAAGCTGAAATGAGTTAAGTTGATTTTCAACTCTTTTTTTTTTAGCCCCCAAAGAATCCCAGTTCCCAGAATAAACTGCACTTTCACTGGCATGATTTTAAAAGACAGAAAGACCATGTGGCCTAATGGATAAGGCGTCTGACTTCGGATCAGAAGATTGAGAGTTCAAGTCCCTTCATGGTCATAAACACCTTAAATACAACCTACGTTCAGCAGATGTTCTTATCCTACACAACTGCTTCACATCAATACCACTATCTGATAACTATTCACCATTGCTTCTTAGAAATCTTAAATGTGAGCATTGTTCTCAGAGCTTAGCAGAACTATTTTTTCAATAAAAACTCATAAGAACCATGTGTTGCACAAAACTTAGAGGTGCTCCTGTTTAACTTTCCCATGGAATATTCTTTCATACCAAATTGTGAATGATCTATTCCTCAAGATTAGCTTCTATTTGACTATCTACTCTAGATGAGTGCACTTTGTCTCCCTGCCAACATAAAATGACCACGTGGCCTAATGGATAAGGTGTCTGACTTTGGATCAGAAGATTGAGGGTTCAAGTCCTTTCATGGTCATTACTGCTAGCTTTAAATGGATGCACCTAAAATTATTGTTCACACACTCCAACATGACATAAAGCCTTACAACTATTCCACAATAACATTGTGTTCACTATGATTGGTTGGAAAGATGAACAAATATCGAAGTCTTTTGCTTTCTAACACAAATGATTCAATTATTGTTGGCATAAGATAGCTGCAACTGTTTGTCCTATGACGCCACCCCCTTATAAAGACCATGCAGTCTAATGGGTAAGATGTCCAACTTCAGATCACAACATTGAGGGTTCAAGTCCCTTTGTGGCCATTATGGGGTTAAAATATATTCTATAACATATTTTACTTCAAGGCAGAACAAAATGAATGATTTGAACAGTACTGCTATATCATCAGCTAATAGGTCAGTGCATTAATTGTACAGCTTTGCAGTAATTTCAAATGGTGACACAAGTCATACAAAGCTAGGACTAGCCTCAAGTAGACTGCAGCCAGGCTGAACTTATCTTAAAAACGTTACACTGTACCTTGTGCAATATGCACTACACATAGTATTAACCCTATATAGATAAATGCATCTTATTGCATAGCACACATTACAACTATTATACTTCATATTTAAATGAGATGTACATTTTCAAATTTAACACACAAGACTAGTAATTATGTTCACCTGTTTGTTCTTTACAAATCCTTAAAAAAATTGATTTAATCATCTTGCAAAAGGAAGGGACAAAATAACCAACACACAATAAGGAAGCAAACAGTAACTCAGTGTACTTTATTCTCCTGTTCTCTAAAGCTGAAAGCACACACATTACAGAAACAGGTAGCACTGAGGAATGGTCACAGTTCCCCATCCACACAACATTTCTACCCCATAATTTCCCTCAGGATGTACAAAATAATCACAAAGGCAAGAAGTCAAAAGTTTAAAAGAAAAAAAAAAACATGTAACCTTGATCAAAGAACCAGACTTTAGGCAGCTGGAAAAGATTTGCGATCATGACAGTCATGTACAACCAGCTCTTCCTCTTCAGCCCGGTCACAGTGCTTAAGCCCCATGACATGGTAATGACCTGCTCAGCTCAGAAAGGCACATGTTCAACATCCTGATTGGACATGGCAGGTAGGCGGGACAAGGGGGAGGGGGTGGAGTTAGGGCTGCAGGAGGAGGAGTTAAGGGGGCAAAAGGGGGCAGTGCAGAAAGGAGAGTGGCCAAGGAAATCTCGACACATTGGGACTGGTAACTGGACACGTACCCCCACACCCTCAATATGAAAAGATTGTTAAGTGAGCTGCTGGTAAAGAAGCAAGCCAGCCAGCTTTTATGAAACCAATGCCGGCTATTGCTGAAAGATCTTAAAACAGACCTTTTTTAAAAAAAAAAAAAAAAAAAAAAAAAAAAAAAATTTGTGTATATTTTTGCCTCCTGTCCATATGCTTTTTTGTGCCTGTAAGAAATGCAACTGGACACCTTTACAAAAGAATTCGGCATAATTTCTTGTGTGTAACCGGCAAAGGTTTTCACACACAAAAAAAAAAAGGGGAACGCAAGGAGGAAAGTGGATATTTGGAAGAACAATGCCTGGCAAATAAAGTGTGGATAAATTCCAAATTAAGAGTAAGCAGAGGTGTATAGAGCAGTTTTGGAGCACAGGGCAGTAGGCCCAAAACTGCGCCTTCCACCCTCACCCCTCTGCTTGCCATACTCTTCACAGCCCATTACTCGAGGAGAGTTCACCTCATGGAGAAAAAAATAAGCGGCAAACGTTTTGCTCCTCTTACTTCATTTGCATAATATGGCTATAAAGAATGTAAACATCACAACTGCCGGCAATTTAAAAAAAAAATTTGAAGGAAAAAAAGGTCAATTTTCCTCACCCAATCTGACAATTTGTAAGTATATATATTAAAAAAAAAAAGTATCGTCTTTGACTGCTGTGCGTCTGTTTTCGATGGGTCGCCACACTGACATGTCATCTCAGTGCGGCGAGTCACAAGTGCTTATTCCTGAAATGCAACAGATATACAAGTTCCCCAAAGTATGATTTCAGCATGGCGAGGGGGGGGGGTGGTTAAAAACAGCCCTGTTTAATTTTTTTGTGCACTACAAATACACCCAATTACCAGTCAGAGGTGCCTACCACACTGTAGAAGCCAGAGTAAACCCCCAGGCCTGCCTGCCACATCCTGTATATGAATTCCTTACAATCCCGTCCCCCCAGAAAGACCAAAAGTACAGAAAAAGTGCCAGGGGAATGTTTGATACCTTTTTATTTTTTCATTGCAGTGGAAAAATAGAACCTTTTACAAATGCTTCCATTTCTTTATTTTTTTCTTAAACAAGCGCCGTGAGTACTAATTCCAGCTAAGTGCAGCGAAGAGACAAACACAAATGGAAAGATTCGTAATGAAAGCATAAAAGGCCCAAACTACTTTTTATAACAAGAATAGTTTTTCCTTTTTTGTTTAAGTGTATTTTGAACTGCTTTACTGACTAACATCATTCTTTCCAAAATAGGGCCCCAGTTTATCTCAGTCTTTGGCACACTACTTTTTTTTTTTTTTTTTACTGGAATTATTAAAAATTGGGGAAATTTCCTAAGTGTTACCTGTCAAAATTAATGCCTTTCATATCAGCTGCAAATATGTTCCTTTTTGCCTTGAGAACCAAGCACATTAATTGAAAAAATTTGAACATTTGCTTTTATGTTCACAGTTTGGAATTGAGAGGCAAGAAAGATTTCTTGTTTTGTAAGAAGCCTACACAGGGGACAAGAACCCCCCCATTTCAAACCTTGTTTCTCTCTCGGTCTCTCTAAATAAAGGTCTGAACATGTTAGCGATTTTCTTGAAGAAAAAAAGAAAAAAAAAAAAAAAGAGCGATCAATTTCTCAAGTGCTGCCATTACTCGACACCCCTCACACGATGTGTTGACTGTATTTGCATTGAGTATTTTTTTTTTTGTTTTTTTTTTTTTTTTGTATTTTTTCTATTATAGGGAAGTGAAGAGAGTGGAGACCCCTCTCACACCCACACAAACACACTTGCTTCTTATGGCCAGGCCAAGTTTAGCAGGTCTCCCACGCATTTACAAGGCTCGTAGGCTTACACACAGGTTAAAGGAGCCGGCCCCACCGCTGTTCCAACTTGTAGTCTCCTTTCTCCTTTTTCCCCTCCCTCATTTTTAGCCATTTCTTCAACTCCAGCAGCCAAACCAATTTTTTTTGTTGTTGTCCAGAATCATCGTTTGTTTTTCTCTCTTTCAATTAAAATGCTGTATTGTTTTTTTGTTGCTTGTTTATCTTTTTTAAATTCTCAGATCTCCATTTGAAGTCCTTGCACCAGAAGTGCTTGTAAAAACGTCTTCCACAGACCAGTCAGAGCGAAAAAAAAAAAAAAGTCAAAGTCCTTTTTTTGTTTGCTTGTGAAAAGAAACTCCAAGTTTGGCAGTTTTTTTTTTAAATCTACTCTGGTAATCCTTTTTGCTTGTTTTTTTTTTTCCTGTGGCTGACATAACCAGTTTTAAGAGTTCTTTGAACGAGCTGGCTACAGCTTGTCGAGATTGGTGATGTCCGTGTGGCTGTGTCTGATTCAGTCTGGTGGTGGTCGAGGGCGGGCGGGCGCACGCGCTGGAGCTGGATCTATACTCAGAAGGTGGTATGATAAAGCCTCACTCACTCTTACATTCAGACACACTCTTCACTTCTGCTTTAACTGGTTTGCGAAAAGACAGAAGAAATTTCCAGTGGAGCATTCTCAGCATTTTTTTTTCCTCCCCTCCACAGGCTGAAATCTGTAAGAGGAGGAAGGAGGGAAGGGAAGGGTAGGTAGAGAGTAAGAATTGCATATTAACAACAAATTATGGAGTACGTCTGCATGGATCACTGTCTGAACGAGGCACTGTGATGATGATAAGCAGACGAGGCTTGGCTGTGTTCAGTAACCTCGCCGGATATGACCAATCATTTTGCTCTGGGGTAAAACAGCAAAATCATTTGACTGGTTGAACCTTGACTGTTTCATGACTGACAGCCAAATACACCTGCCCTTGCTGGTGTCAGGATACCTCAATTCACTGATAGTTTTCCAAAGTAGTGACTGCTCATGATGAACTCACGACAATCATGTACTTCCATTACACAAACAGATTACACTCTGTTGTTGAATAATCATTTCACAGCACCTATTGCACATTTGCATGCAGTAAGATTGGCGCTCAAGCATGTTATACAACGGAATACATCTATAAGCATGAATGTTACATAAAAGGTCTTGCATTACCATAGTAACTGCTGTTATAGATTTTACAACATCTACAGTGTTTCATATGTCAGCATGTAAATTAGCGACAGTTAAGCAAGCCGCAACACTTCTCCACTTATTCATTTCCCACCGCTTGTGTAAGAATGTAAGAAATATGGAAGGGGTAGTACTCTCAAACAAAGGTGGATTACACAGATAGAGGTGATGTTTCACACTGCATGACAAGATACGTTTTTAAAAAGCTGGCTCAGTTGTTCATGCTAGCATGTTTATGACTAGTTAACCCTCCTCAGAGCTAGACCTGAAACATAAAAAATTTGATTGAACTTAAAGCACTACTTTGGTCATCCAACTGAACAACTGACATCAGGGTTCAACTGTCAAAGTCCTTAAGAAATGTTTCAAAACAGGTAGCACTTGGTGGATTATCAAGCATCTCTACTCCTGATTACAGAAGTCACATTCTAATTGATCATTTTTAGACATGAGCCCCAGAGTCTAATTTATTTGCGCAAGAGACACCTGACAGGGAGGTCTGACTTCTACCTGGACGTTCCTGGTGGAGTAAGTTACAGTGATACTGATTTCATGACGCAAGTTCTGTAACTGCACTGCAAAGTGGATGCTGCAACACTTTGATTTATTTGCAAAGTTCAGTCAACCAGCCCCATATTTTGGGCCTTCTACTTAGGTTTTCAGCATTTAAAATTATGAACATTAGTGCGCTTGAGGACAGTCTGCCAGACTTAACTGTATGCAAGTGAACGGAGACTCACCAGGCATTTAAAACTACCAACTGTATGATTGCTGTTGTCATGGATACTCAAAGTGGGTAGACAACAGAATGTAGAGGTATGGATATCCACTATGTGTTTAAACTGTGGGAGTTCTGTTGCGGTGCATTCTTGCCCAGGCAGTTAAACTGCAGAGTGTAACACAATGGAAACTCACATGACGGTTACTCTACAGAATGTTAGAGTCCTGTTGCCGTGGACACTCACCAGGCAACCAAGCAACAGAATGCAAGCCTATGGGGACTCA